TTAAAGATGCATTTATTTGCAAAAATGTTTTGCCCCCTTCCCAAAAACTGATCGACTTGCGTGCTGTTTGATTTTCGCAATGAGGAGCAACATTTTTTGGCACTGCTGTACTGCTCTTAGAGGGGCGTTCAACAGTGCCGAAAATCAGCAGTGCAAAAATTCGTCAACTCTTGGAACTGTTGAGGGGAAATTTTTCAGTTTCGGTACTGTTCTGCTTTGGCACAGTTGACTACCCTCTTCCATAGTCCCAATCTAGCTTTCCGAGAATTCCTCATGTGCAAAAGAGCAATTGCGCAAAAACTTTGTCAACCAATCAAAATTTATTTTTACGCTTGCGATTAGCAAGCGTTATCAAACTGGAAAATAGAATTTTTTCCAGGTTAATAACTGGTTTAACAGAAACATTTGAATCATTTGTTTCATAATGCAGGTAATTATTATGCGTTGAACGGCAAAGGTCCTGATTTCGAATTGGTGTAGGACTTTTTTTTCAAATGGGAAATATTCTGTATCAAATAAAAATGTCGGCCAATTATTTGTCTGCTGATTTGATGTTGGCCTTGTTGTCATATTTTGGAATCGTTTTTTTTTTGCTGCGCGCATTTTTTTAAAATTGTTTTCAGTGTTTGATTTACTCCTCCAATATATAATTTTACTGGCCTTGATTTCCTTCTTTGATTTTTTTTTGTTTTGCTAAAAAAAATTCTTCGGCCCAAAATAATTTGGCCAATTTTTCATCGGCTTAAGGACTTAAATTTGGGTCGTTTCAAGGGAAACACAATTTTAACATTCCCCTCGGCACTTTTCAAGCTGGTTGTATAATAAACAATCAGTTTGTTGAAATTTAAGTTTTTGTTTCAAAAAATGTTTTCACAATTTGCAAAATTTTTTATTTTTCTCAGACACTTCTGCTGAGTTTGATAAAAAAAAGGTATCAATTAAAACGCCGCTCACTTCCTTGTGTGCCTGAATACTCCCCTAGAGTTTTTTCTATTTGACCCCTATGTGCACCGCCTTCGAAAAAGTGTGGTGGATTGTTTCACCCATGTTTTTTGATTTTTTCTCGATAAGTGACCCTCTCAAATATGAGTTTTTGGTTTAAGTGATTAGAATTCTTTATAAAAGCTCCCCTGCATAAGCGGCTACGCCCAATTTTTTTTACTACACTAAAAGTGTCTGCTCTGGGAAAAGTCCATTTTTTGATTTTTGACCGTTTTGTTGTTCTTTTTGGTTTTTCTTGAAAACTAACATCTCAAATCTGATATTGTGGGTTCATGGGAGTTAATGGGCACTGGTCTATATTCTATATTTTTTAAATATTTTTCTTGTTTTAAATCGCAAGTGGTGCGAAACTCAGCTTCGCCTCTGTGTTGATGAAAAATTCAAACGAAAACGCTGCAAATGCAGTCCGTTTTGGACAGTTGAAATGGCGTTAATTGCTCTAATATTAGATTTTTCTCACTTTTGGTAAGACTGCTACTAAAATTTATTTAATCGATTATTAACGCTTGAAAATAATCTGATGTCATTTTAGACAAATGGATGGAGATTGTCAGGTTTTATTTCTAATCCTCTTAAAGAGCAAAAATTATTTGTAGAAAAATGAATCAATTATAAAAGACACTCGAGAGACTCGCTCAAACACTGTTGGCAGGTAAAACCAATTAAAGAGGTTTTTAAAAGACAGCTGTTTCCAAAAGTAAAGACGGTTCTTAAATATGAGTTGCGGTATTACGTTTAATAAGATTTAGGGATGGTTGAAAAGAAGCATCGGAGAAAATATGTTTTGAGTACCTGAAACCTTGGAAAAGGGAATTTTGGTCATCGGTTCTTTTGGATGGAGCTCTATATGGTTAGATGCATTGAAACACTAACTTTGAACAAAAAATCGTTTTGCAGAATCTCGATCATTCTAATATTTTTAGGACAGGTTAGAGGGGGGGGGAGTTTAGAGCAGCTTAGAGGGGAACTTTAGAGCAGCTTAGGGGGAACATCAAATCTTTGTTTATGACTGAGCTTTCGATGTTTGAGGAACCAAGCTATAGCGACACGGCTGGTCAATGTTTGAAAGGGGGAACTTCAGGGCAGCTTGGGGGGGGGGGTTAGGGCAGCTTAACAACTAGATATAGTTTATTTAGTTAGGCAAAAATCGATGTTTCTCATTTTGAACAATTGTATTTAAAATTTTTACAATGAATGACCTACAAAAAGCACATTTGCTCTTGATGTAATGCACTAGGAAAAGTAGAGCAAAATAGAAGAAAAAAACCACAAACAGAACGTGCAAGTTTTAGATGAAAAGTTGCATTACGTTTTCGTCATCTTTCAAGAAATTCTCTTTTGAGCGCTCTTAGCTTAGATCGCGTTTTCAAACATTTATCAGACAGTAGCTCATTCAAACCAGGAAATTATAAGCTTTAATGAGCAAAACACGTAGAGATTTCCTTCTAGTTTCAGTCCATGCTGCTGGCATATTCACAAATCTTTTGATCGAGTTTCTCGCCTTTTTCCGGTAGAGCCAAAAGCAAGTGATTTACAAACAGTTATTCCGAAATTTTGTTAAACCACTTTTTTGAAAATTTGCGTTGTTGAACTTTGCCATTTTTTGCATACATGGCCAATAAGATTCACAAAAGTCAATTTTTATCATTAAAAACTGCAAGATCTTTGAAATAACTGCCTTCTTGAATTTTTTGCGATGCAATGTCAGCTCTATTGGCGAACCCGATTTGCCAACTCATATATGGATGTACTTGGAAGTTTGAATGGATATCTTATTGGGTTTGCACCAGCCATGTGTTCACTTTACATCGAATCCGAAATTTGAACGCCCTGCATTTTGCTTTGTAGTTGCTGCTATAATCGTACACTAGTAGCTCAAGGGGAAAAAAGTTTTTGTTTTAACTATACTTTTGATATTTGAGGAACCAAGCTATAGAGACGCAGCTGATCAATTTTTGAAATTTCACGAAATTTATCAGTTTTCTAATCAAGTAAGCAGCATCTTCTTGGTACTCAATAAATTTTACTTGCATTAGTTTTTGTTTGTAAATCTATGACAAGTTTCTAATGGGTTTAAATTCTTCGATTTATGGTTTGAAATCTATATATTTATCGTTCTGCTTATTCCATCCACTACAAGGTGAAAATGTGTAAAATTTCTACGTTAAAAAAACAAAGGTTTAAAAAATAAGGATTCAAATTACCCAGTTTGGAAATTTAGGACCATGTTATTAAATTTTTGGCCTATTTTTTGAACAAATTTGATAGAATATACATTTGACCTATGATTTTATTATCTCGAACATGATTTATGCATGATTTTGTTTCATGCATGCTTCGAAATTTTTTTTCGATAAAAATTTTTCAGTCGCACAATGAAGTTTTCCGACCATTGTTGAAATTAATGTAGTACATGAATATACTCGATCAATCGAGATGGCGTTATCTAGTTTTCATGACGTTTAGAGTGCAATTTCGACCTGTATTGTAAAGCATTTCAATTGCTCTGCCCTATAAAATCATCTCTGCTGTAATGCAAAATTTTGTACCAGAACCAGTCATTCTTACTCCCATGAAATTGTCCCTCTCTTAGATTTCATTTTCATTTTTAGTATTGCTTAAATTTATTCGTCTTTCTATCTGTCTTGAAGGCAACTTCAGCAGAGAAAATCAGCACTTGACTGGGATCTGTAATCCAATTACGCAGCCTGCTCTGATTTTACTAAAGAGTGCGCCTATCCAAATATTCTCCGAAAGCCGAACTCCGAAGGATTAATTGTCACATTTCCATCTTTCGCCTAAAAATTCCCAAGAACTTTCTGATTGATTAAATAAAGTTCGCGTGTATCAGCTCGGAATTTTAATGTTTATCAAAGAAGAGTTTTTGGTGATAAAAAAGTCACCGCTTATTTCATCCAACAATACCGCCCCCCTCCCCTCTTTCGCCCGGAAGAAAGTACTCATGTACTGCATTTCAATTTTCTGCTCTTCGACCGGTCTGTTCAGTTTCATATGTCAACTTTTTTTTCAGTTTCTTTTTTTAAGCATGCAAGGGTATTCATGCCTGCCACTTGCTGCTTTTGAGATAAAATTAAGGAGGTTGTGCAGAGGAGCGAGTTTGAACTGTGAAATGGTGATTTTGGCTTAGTGTTGTTGGTAAGTGGTCTTGATTTTATTATTTCACCAGGGCTGACATGTGTGTCAATCGTGCAACTGTGAACTGTCTTGTCTGCCTCCACTAATGGAACTTATTCTGATTGGTGAGTGCTGGCTTATAATAAGAAAGGCTAAAATCCACAGGAAAATTCACGCGGAAAATCCCTCATACACGAACTTATGCTCTCTAAACCGAAAAAAAAATCATTTTTGTATGTAAATTTTCACAAATTTGATATCAAAAATTAATAAAACAATGACATTTTTGAAAAAACTGTAATTTGGTGAATTAATAAGAAAAATTAGAATGATTTTAGATAATTGTTCATACTTTTAGTTAAACTATTGCCGTATTATGATTCAAAATGTAATTTATTTGGGCGTTTATTCTAGTTTCGTGTGGGTAAGCCTGAAGGTTAGTGGTATTTATAAAAAACAGAAGAATAATCAGTGCAAGAAGGGCTTTCAGGCGCAGTTGATATATCAGGCCCTTTCTGCGTGAACAAAATGACCGCATGATTTAACCCTACCTGCTTTGCCCTCTTTTATGTGGCGAATTTTTCATGGCCGAAGGACCTATGGGCAGAAAAAAACTAGCCAATCAGAATCCAGGTTTAGAAATCTGAAAGGACGCGTGACAACTGAATCAAAAATTTAAGAGAAATTAAAAATTTTTAGGCAAAATTCTCAACCGACCTACCCGTACTAATTGTTAAATTACTTCCTTGGATAACTTGTTTTTATATATCATTCAAGCCAAAATTTTGTAAATCTACATTTTCAATCGGCTTATATTTTCATCGGTTTTGAGGCACAGACAGCTAGCTAGCTGTGGTCTTTTCCTATTATTCGGTTGAGCTTTTGGGTAAATTTTTGGTGATCATTCGTTCATGCGTGAAACAGTATCTGTGTTATTTTTACAACCCAGCTCTCCATAAACCCAACCTGCGCCCAGAGCAATTATTTCTGTTTTAATCTGGAAACACATTAATTTTTAATGTACACGTTCGTATTGGCTAATTCGCCCAAATTGTACGCAATTAAATCAATTCGGGCATTGAATTTGGATAAAAGATATCGAGAAATTTACCTCTCATTTCGTTTATTTCGTTTCCCGTCTTTATTTCGGGCGTCGCTTTCTTAGCGAATTCACCGGCGAATTGCATCTAATAAAAATTCAAATGAATGGATTATGGATCATTAAACTCTGCTAACTTTGGTAAGACATTTTGTTTCCACTCCCGGAAAAAAAATCAATTACAATAATTTGTAAAATTTAGTGAAGTACCCCAAAATTTATTGTTTAAAAAATGTTGACCCTAATTTTGGTCGACCAAATTGTTTTTCCGATTAGTATATTTTAGCGTCGAGGGGCGCCTTTAGAAAAAATTTTAGGTTCAGCCAGCCAAAAATGGATATCTCAAAATAGTACAAAGGGAGGACCCTTTGGGTCGGCAGGGGGTCGAATCCCCGAGAGAAGGAGGACGTCGGTCCCCTCCCCCTAAATCCGCCCCTGATTATACAAATACCCAAGTTTTTGTCGACCAGTTTTTGTTTAAATTTTGAAAAATAAGAAAGACAGATGAGTGGACATTTTTCAGAACTTTTTAGTGATCAAATCGAACGTTTATTTGACGGTTTTTTAATAAACTGACGCTTTAGTTCGAAAATTTACGCGTTGCTCATTTCAACTGAATTTTTGTGCCCACAGGGTAGGCGGCGAGTTTACCCGCGCTCAAAATTGTTTGAAGTTGGTTGAAATCTATAATCGTTTCTGCAAAAAATTCTAGCGCGTTTTACAAACGCTTAAATTATTTACAGAGCAATACAGTAACTCAGAGGGACATATCTAAAATGTTATCGATGGGGGATATATGAGCTCTCCGTTAGCCCTATGAAGACCCTATTCAGCCCAAAAAATGCAATTTGGCGCAAACTCTCACCTTTGAAAGCTTGTTGAATGTGTCAATTTTTTGCCTACAAAATTGTGCTTGTATATTTTCTTACCAATTAATGTATTCAATTAACTGATTTTTTAATGTCAACTCAAAGTGTTTTACCATATAGATTGATCTTTTACAGCATGTTAAAACGCTACCACCAATCTCGTAGTAATTAAGTTCATGATCATATGGCATAAAAGTTATGTCTTTCTCTGTTTTAGAGGAAAAACGAAAAGATTCTTTGGTCTAAAACTGTTTCTTTAGGCAGGCTAAAAAAGCTCGTGCTAAAACAACTCTTTGAATGTTCCGACTTTTCAAACAGTTTTTTTTTAATTTTTTTACTAAAAAAAGCGTTATCACATGCTTTTCCAAGTGATTTTGTCTTTTTTTGAATCATTTGACACAAATTTTTGCCACAAACTGAAAGTTTCATAGAGATCCCTTCAAATTAGTTGAAAAATTCTCGCTGAGAATGAAAAATAGCTGCCAATTTAATCAACAAACAAAAACTGTTTGCTGAAAAATATATGAAAATTAGCAATTTTGTAACGAGCCCAAATGAAGAAGAAACAGTTTTTACTTGAACTGATTTGAAATCTGCTGAAATTGTTTCCAAAATTGTTTGCCAGCCAAAATATGAAAAATATCATTCTAATTACTTCAGATGCAGTTTTATATTTCTTAAAAAATGAAATCAAGTTACAGTCAAGTTTCAAGTGGTTTTAATTACATCGAAAATCAAACGGAGTAATAATCAACTCTATAAGTATCTAAAATATTCAATAACTTGAATTAAACTGATTTTATAAGTGATTAATAACACTTAAAACTGGAAGAGGGCAGCTCTCTGATGGTTGCGTCTATGGCTTCTATTTAATCTAGGTGATTTTTGTTTATTCTACGGTACGTTTTGGTGTTTAAAATATCATTTAAGTAATTCTAATTGAATACTCTTTTGATTTTGATGTCAAAACGAACACAAAAACACGCAGCTATTATAATTGGGAACTTAGACTTTTTTCTTTCCAAAAATTTTTCATCACAGGAAATTGAAGTTGCTTTCTTATTGAACCTTGACAACTTCCAGGTTCCTTTCTACTTGGCCTGGAGGAAAGTTGATCGCTTATTCGTCCTAAGGTTTGAGCTTGGAGTCCGGCCGGATGCTTTTTAGAGCTTGATTGTGGATCAAAAGGGTTAAAGGAAGCTCCCATACGTAACCGGCTACGTTTTTTACACAAAAAATTATGGTCTTAATTTTTCAAGAAAAATGTTATAGCCATCAAAATGTCAAATATATAAGACTCTGACTACTTTTCGTAAATTTTTTGATTTTTCTCGAAGACTAAATTGCCAATTTTTCAAAGTATTTTTTCGAGAAACTCGTTCTTACGATTTTTCTCTGCTGAAGTGGCTACAAACTACTTATCGCAGAAAAAATTATGGGAGTTGAAAATTCAAATTTTTGAAGTTCTGACCATTTTCTAGAAATTTTTTGACTTTTCTTAAAAACTACCCCATCAAACTTGAGATGAAAGGTTGAATAAAAAAAAACATATTTTGGAGAATTTGTTTTGTGAAAGCGATGACTCTTTAATTTGTTATGAGAAAAACTTTGTCATTGGGAAAATTCCAATGTCTCAAAAACTTTTATTCTTCTCACTTAATTTAGTAGAGAAACAACTAAGGTTTCGGCAAATTCCATTTTTTGAAATTTCAAAGTTACCAAATTTCAAATCAAACTCAAATTGTAAAAAATTCCTATTGTTAAAATTTATATCAAAAATTTTATTATAGTAATGACTATAATTTTTTTGAAATGATGATTCTATTCACTGTAAAATTCACTACATTTACTAACCAATGAAATTTTAACATTCCTTTTAAATTATTATCATTTATTTTTGTATTAGGTTTCTTACCAAACAAAAAAGTTTTTGTTTCTGATGAAGGTGTTTTTAAGATAAAAGACTGTTAAATTAGGTTATTACTGTTGAATTAGATGAGAAAAATTGCAACAAAAATGTAAATTTTGCACTCTCTGAATCAGAACTTTTGTCTGCAATACTGAAATTCAGACTGAGACTTTTTTTGGGAATCCTAATCGCGGCAAATGGGGATCTAAAATTGCACCAAACTTTACCACAAACGAGTTTTCTGTGCGAAGAGCAGTCTGTATTTAGACAACCGCATCTTCATACTCGTATGTAAGCAGACACATACTAAACTAGAAAACCAGAAATGAGATGAGAAGGCAATTTACGGAAAAAACAATTAATTATTAATTTTGCTCTAACAAAACTTGAGCGGTTGACTTGATCTTAAGATCAGACTTATTTTTGACACTGAAATTATATAATAATTAAAAAAAAATAGTTAAATTAAAAAAATCCGATTATCTTGAATTTTGCGTAAACACTTTCAAATGTTTTGCTGTACAATTTGCGTTTTCTGTTCTTGCAAATGTTTATTCAGTTGAGCAAAATGTCAAAAATAGACAAGGACCTTCAACTGAAATTTACATTCAGCAGCCAGCAGCTTTAAAAATATGAGCATTTTTTCCAACGTCATTTTTAATTTGACCATCGTAGGCTTCTTTTTAATAATTTTTCCAAGCATACAAATGTTCAATGAGTTTATCCTACTTTTTGAAGTCTAAATGGTTTTATTTTCATACCACGCTTCTCTGCAATTTTTTTGGTTGAAGGTAAGCATACAAGCATGCAGTTTCTTGAAACAATGTCGCAATAGTGTTATGTATAATTTTGAAACAGTTTTAGAATCATACAAATTATCTGAATTATAAGAATAGAAAGTATACTTTTTCTATTTATCTGAAAAGTTAATTTCAACATGTGACTAGCGTCCAGCAACATTTTAATAAGTCCAAATAACTTGCCTCAAATCAAATTGGAGCAATTTCTTAGCCGGATTAAATAGCCACTTGCGCGTTAGTTCTCTAAATTAGGCCAAATTGGTATTTTTCAGAACAGTATGAGACTTTTTTGACAGTCTGATCATTATCTCATTTAAATGGCAGGGTTGTTTAGTTGACACGGAAATGTTTCTAGCAAGTCTCTTTGACGCAAAAGATGTTGAGCTGAGTTTTGTGTTCCACCGAGGTGCTGAATATATGCCTGATGTGTCGAATAATATTTATGTTTCTATTCGAGCCATTTTCTGAAAAAATTAGAGGATGAACGATTGTGCTCGCACTATCCGAAAAAGTTTTGAGTGTACAAAGAACGCTGAAAGCGCGGTTAAACATGCCGCGACCAATCAAAAATGAGCAAAGAATTCTGTACATGACTGTGTGATTTAAAAATTGCGGCGCCTTATGATTTAATTTTGATCGAAAAAGGGAAGTCCGATAATCGTCCATCACCACTATATTTGAAAGGTTAAGATAAATGTCAGCATAAATTTCTGGCTCATATTAGTTTTTGAAGGTCAATCATTTTGAAGCACTGAAGAGCTAAAAATATTTTTTCTAACACCGATTTCACTCTTTGACTCATGCGCTGGTTTTCATTAATCTCCAAAAATAACCTCATGTTATACCAGGGGCGGATTTGGGGGGACGCCTTTCCCTCAGGGATTCGGCCCCCTGCCGACCCAAAGGGCCCCCTTTAAACTATTTTGAAATATCTTCTATTTTTGGCTGACGGACCCTGAAATTTTTCTAAAGGCAACTTGGGCGCCAATATATACTAGTTTTGAGGGGAGAGCGCCTATTTTTTTTTTTCAAAATTTTGCCTGCCGCGCAGAAAATTTGGCCAAAACAGCGTCTTTTAAGTGCTTTGGGAGAGCTCGGAAAATCAAAAATTTAAGTGCTTTGGGAGAGCTCGGAAAGGTCGTCAAAGTTTTCAAAATTTTTTTTCTGAAAATCCCCACCCCCTCGAAAAAATCCTAGATCCGTTCATGTTATTATATAACTGAATGATGCAATAGTGCTGCATTGTTTGTTTATAGATAGATCGGGCTACTAACCTCACCGTTAGAAACGCTCTCAATGCGGTTTCCCGTATTCAAAAAAGTTCCGGTTGTCTTGAAAAATGTTAATTAGGTTTGCATGCGAATTCTCGGAATAGGATAGCATGGTTTAGTTCTGAGACAATGTTTTTACACAAAAAAACTTAATTTTTGCAGAACCGTTAAATTTTTTGTAGACCATATTAGTTGCAACTGATTTAGCTCTAAAATCCTCAAAAACTGTCTGTAGTATCCGCTAAAACCCTAAGCGATTTTGATTTATACATATTAAATTTTATGAGAAGTGACTGCTTAGTTGAATTCGTGAGACGGTTTCTGTCCAATTTCACGCTCTTCGCAGGATAATTTGACAGTTGGATTCCCGCCTTCCGATACTGCCAATTTCCTTGTATGACTAGGATTAAGTTTTCGCTAGGATTAATTTGCTCGGATTAAGTTATCGACTATCATACTTTTCCTGAAAGCAAAAATTCATTTATTTAACATTATAACGAGCGGTTTTCCTTTTTGCATTTATTTCAATTGACTGTAGCAGCTGTTTGAAAAATTGGGATTTTAAAATTTAATTTTGAAAACTAAATAATTGGAGAAAAATGATATGTGATATGTCGATGAAGTAGACTTGTCGACGCCTTAATTTGAATTCTGTTTTAGGTATAGATAGTTAGAATCACCCGTCGCTATTCACCCTTCGGGAATGAAATTTATCGCCTGTTTAGTTGGCACTTTTATACCGCAGCAACCCCCCATCATATCCCAGAGACTTTAAATTTATCCTTTGAATTCTTTCCGTTCCCGCAAAAATTTCCACAATATCTATCAACGTTCACAACAGCGCAATATAGCTGCATTGGCTTTTCAATCCCGTTACTTTTTCTCTCTTTTTTTACAACAACTACTTTCCTTAATAGCCGTTATCTGAAGTACTCGCAACTTATAACCTGGTAACGACGCCAACTAATTTAGGATATAACTTCTTGTACCAGAAACCAACAGTGCAATCTAATACCATTATGCATTGAACTACTTAAAGTAAGTCTCTCATACTAAGTCACTTATGCAAAAAATGTTCAAGATATTTTTAGAGTGAAGAGAAAAAATGGAATGTCTTTCGTTGTAAATCACTAAGGAAAAAAGGGTTGCTGGTCCAGACATTTCTACAATTAAGCCAAGTCTTTTTATTAACTTTACATGTGTCTTGATTCTGAATTGAAGGGATCTTACTAAATCCCTATGACATTGTTATTAGTCGCATTTTCTGACCATACTTCGAGTGAAGTTGTATATCTATTCCTTGGGGCTTTTATTCTCTCTTTTCTGCTGTTTAAATTTCCCTTTGAGCTCTTTTCAAAATAGAGCTGAGCTGAGCTTTATTTACATAACCCGTTTGATTATTAAGGATGCGACGAGGCGAGGCGAGGCTTTCTTTTCCTCTTTTACCTGGGCGCTGGGTCAAAAATAAAAGAACTGAATTTAATTAGTTTTATAATGCGAGGAGACGCTTCTCATTATGATTTAATCATAATGCCCGAACTCTGATTTTGCGCTCCTTTTACATTCATTGATTTACTTTCTGTTCTCACTTTTTTTCAATTTTTCATCCAGAAAGGCGTTGGTCTCAGCGAAAACCTAAGTATTGGTTACACTATGAACTGATTTGTCAGTCGAAACAAACATAATGAGTTTTGATTCACATGGATTCGGATCGTCTCAGAAAAACGAACGAGTCGACTTCGGAGTGTCCGAGAAATCAGCAATTTCGCTACATTCCACGGGAGAACTGTCGTCGGAAATGTCGTCGGGTTTCCCACCCCCACCACCCCCACAACTCGTAATCAGCCGAGAAAGTTCCGACAAAGTTACTGCAAACCCTGCTACGACAGCGGGACCGAAACCAAGACGAAAATTACCCGAAGTTCCGCCGAGACAAATTTCAGGCAGCTCTGGAAATGCGAGTTCCAAAACAGATCATCTACACGAACAGCAAAAACATAAACAAAAACAAGATTTTACGTCAAATGAGACGTCGCTTGATTTAGATGAAATTGTTTCGAACGGCGTTGACCTTTCAGTAGGGGGTCAACGCGGTGATTTAGAAGATAAGTTTGAAATCTTTTCACGCTTTCTTCAATCTCATCGCGCTGCAACCGATTATACGAACAAAGGTAACACGAATGAAGGTTTTAGAATTAATTGTTGAGACAAGTGAACAATCTCCCCCACAATCAATTGATGGGGAGATTTTTCACTTGGCTAAAAGTAATATTTTTCCTCCCCGACCCCTCCCCCCTCAATTAGATTTAAGCACCCGACTGCACCCGCTTCTCAATTCTGGTTGCCAAATTTTGCTAAGAGTCAGCCCATCGGTATAATATACGCATCCATTTTTTGCAGGCTAAACTCAAAAGCTTTCTAAAAGCACCTTTGGCGCCAATATAAATAAATTCACGTGGGAAAGCCTGCGCCAAAAAAACTTTTTTGGTCCAATTTTCCTTAAAAGTCCTCAAAACGTCAATTCTTGCCTCTTTTTTTCAACTATGCCTTCGGAAAATCAAAATGTTTGAAATTAAAAATAAAAAGAAAGGTTGACAAATTCTTCGCTCGCATACCCCCCCCCCCCCCCCCCCTCCCCCCGAAAAAATTCTGCGCTCGCCAGATTCGATTTGTTTCTTATTTCTGAAGTTTTCATTGAAGTTGTTGTGACTTATCGATCGGCCAATTTGAAAAGAAACTACGGTAGCCGGTTGCTGTGCAAGTAGCAATTTAAAAAGAAACTACGCTAGCCGGTTGCTGTGCAAGTAGAACTGAATGACTCGACCACATTCATAAAAAACACAAAAAAAGTGTTTTTTTTTCTTCACATAGTGCCATTTATTTTGTTCGTGGTCTGACGAGAGAACTATAAAAATATGTAAAAAGTTAGTAAAATAGGCAGAATAAACAGCAGCTTTTCTGAAAAACAAAAAGAAAGGAGATTTTTTTAAAAAACTTGTTTCTTTTTTTTTTTCATTATAATTTTTTGAATTTTCAAATTAAGCTTCTAAAACTAGTTTCCTTATTATTAATCTCAAGTTTTTTGGCCTAGATGGCCAGTTTCAAGTTACCCAATTTTACTCAATCAGAATTTAGGGGGAAGAAGGTTGGAAATATTTTCTAAAGGAACCTTCGGTGCCAAATATACTAATTTTAAGGTGGGAGCGCGCGCCGAAAAAATGCAAATTTTTGGTCAAAATTTTCCAAAAAAAGCTTAAAAATGCCTTTTTGGACTGTTTTTTCACAAAATTTGCCTCAGAAAATCAATTTGGTCGACCTAAAAAAAAGGGAAAATCAATTTTTAGGTCGACCAAATCTCATACTACAAAAAACTACCATACTTGTAAACTACTTTGACTTTAGAAAGTTCAATTGTCAATTACGACTCTTCCATTCCAAAACAATCAAAAATGCCACCGGCTGTTCCAGTTAGACGAACGGCCACTATTTCGAGTTCAAACTTCAACAGCACTCTGCCTGCAGTGCCATTCGTCCAAATGCCCCCTCCACTCCAGGTTCAAATCGCAACTCAACAGTCACTAAACATTCAAAATACGCGTTCACTGAGTCGATGCGTATTTCGGCCGAACTTACCAACCGTCGTAGACGAGAGCCCCTATCATAAGTCGTGTGCTGACGACGAGGCGTCTAACCAAAATTTGCTTGCCGATAGCTTCCGTCGAAGGTCGAATTCGGACGCCAGCTGCTCTGATCTTGCCCTTGACCCCCAAAGGTCATTGACCTCTTCGGGTCATATTGACGTGTACACTTTCGACGAGCAGGGGTCAATTTATAGCTTAGAACGGGAGGAAGATCTGGAGATTGAAACTCTGCGAGAAGATATTGAGCGGTTACATGAGAAGTTCGAGACCCTCTCGACAAAAACGAATACCGCCAAAATTTCAGGTAATTACTTTTTCTTAGTCTTTTTTAGAATTGAGTGCTACAGTGTTTTCTGATGAACGGATGTATCTGCTTGAGCAAAGTGTTCCTACCATTATGCGTTGGTTTAAATTATATGGAAAAAAAAGATTAAATCCGAAAACATAACCGGCGTTTTTGAAAAAAAAAAATCAGTTAACTGAAGACAAAAAGTCGTAGACCGAAAGTTACTGAGCAAACAGAATTGATATATCAGAATTTGTTATAGAAAGTTTGAACGCAAAATTTCTATAAAAAATTTTTGGTTAGTTTTGGCTCCATTTGATTGAAGAAAAATTCCGTGTGTCGAGCCATTTTACTGTTTTTGTCAAGCCAATTTACCGAACTTTTCTTGTCTGCGCAAAATTGCACAAGTGTCTCGGTATTAACTCGATTTTTCATACAAAATTCTACCTTCTCGGTATTTTCGGCTGATACCTTTATCTGCTTGAAATTTTGATTGGAAAGCTTGATCGTGTTGCTTGAAATTGATTGACTAGAATTAGCCAATCAGGTTCGATTGCATAAATTTTAGCTTAAAGTTAAGAAAAAATGTTTAAGGGCCGCTTAGTGTGTAAGACTGTAGTTATGTTCAGGCCGCGGATATTGTTGAATAAAAAAAAATCATTTTAGTTAACTTACTAGTTCCTCAAAACCATCAATTTGCTTGAAAAAAATTAATAAAAACCAAGTTTTACAAAACTCTGCTGCAGTAACAGCAAAACAAAATTCATTTTAACGAATATTCTGTAGAAAAAAATGTAGCGAGTTTGAGAGAAAACCCGAGTATTTCATTTGTGAGAAAATTCACCAAAAAATTTTCAAATTTTCAATTTGATAATTTACAGTCTCTAAGCAATTCCCCCCCCCCCCCTCCCCCCAGCATGATCACAAGCCTTGGTGAAGATGTCAATGGTAGCCTATAATTTTTGAAAAACTCGGTTTTCTGGAGACTTTCGACAGAAACAGTTAAAATGGGTAGCTTTTCTCTGGTTAGTTTAGTTCCTCCATTATCTCAGGAACTGTTAATTAGTTCGCAAAAAAAACTATTATTTAAAATTAATCCTAGGCCTGGTTATGTTATATAGTAAGCCTGCTTATTTTTCGAAGATTTTTTGCCCTCTTGAATTTTGTTGGGTCGCTTAAGACGCTCATTTTTCTATAAAAAATTGTGCCAACTATTTTAAACGAGGTTATATGTGACTACAAAAACTATCCTTAAATGACCACAATTACAAATTTCGCAAGCAAAAATACGCCTTCCAATTCGAGAAAAACCTGTCGAAAAAGTTTCATGGTTGTTTTTTTTTCTAGTTTTGTCCGTGCAGGTTAAATCAGCAATAATTGTTGAACGCGTCCTTTTTCTAGTTTAAGTCGTTACTCAAAAATTTGGAAACAGCATATTTAGGATCTCCATAATTGACCTTGTAGAACTTGGCTTCATTAAAAAAAAACAGTTTTTTTTTTGGCAATTTTTCGTTTTTGACTTATAGATTGTTAGCTTAGTTTTTGCAACTTTTAGACCTCATCTCATGTTGTGAAAAACGGCTTGTCCTTTTTTAGATTCCGTTGATTTGTGTTAAAGTGTCGACTTTTTTAACCCTGTCGGAACCTTGAAATGACCCTTAATTGACTCAAAAACTCATGACATCGATACTAATGAAATTAAAAGATTAAATTATGTAGAGGTCTTGTAAAAATTACAACTACAATCACTTTTGATAATTTCCATGCTATAATATATATATATATATATATATATTTGACCAATCAGAACGCAGCAATATTCGAATATTCAAAACAGCGCTCTAGTGCTATGTTACTGCTTATATTTATAGGGGTGGCGACTCTTTAGTAGATACCATAGGGGGTGGGGGAATTGTTAAGTGGATCCAAAATGATATCCAATTTTTGGTGCTGTGTTTATTTTAATTTAGAGCCAGAGTGGATAAGCTGAAAATCAGTTTGTATTAGTATAATTGTTGATTTTTTTTCTGACTTTCGCAGAAAAAGAGAGAATTTTTATGGGTGGGATAGTTTCAATTCAGTCACTTTTAGATTTTTATCTAAGAATTTTTGACGGACATTTGTTAGCCATCTAACAGATATTACTGTCTGGAGCTCGAAGAAAAAAAATTGCCTGTAATTGTTTTTTTTTGTAAAATAAAAGGAGTTTGAAGTTTGTCAATTTAACTAATTTGGGATAATCAAAGCGCGATATATTGAGTTCTTAAAACCCGGTAAGCGGTGAATTGAAGCGTTCCAAATTGAAAAGTTACAAATCATACAAGGAATAAAAAAAGAAAAAAGGTTTCTCCTTTTTCAATCACATAAAATTTTTAAATTGATTTTATAGTGCAGTTGGAAAGTTGGAGGCTTCGTTTTGATATCCGATTGGTTCTTTTTGCGTAAGTTTTTGTATGATTAAATTGTGAACTTTGAGAGATTTGTTAAAATCCATGATAAGTAGTAGTATTTTATCTACGCAGGTTAATTACACAATGTTGAACTGATTCTCAGACAAAAGCAATTGGAGTTTCTCACTTAACCAGGTTATTATCCTCCTAGTAAGCCTGTTTGATGGGAAAAACTAACCTTCTAGTAATGAGACAAATGCGACTGAATCTTGCAATTATTAGAACGAGTTACCTATCAACCGGGCTTTTTCCAATAACCTGTTTTTTCAAACACTAATCAGCTGCAGAAATGTTATCCCAAAAAATTTTGCAGCAATAATATATTGTTACCATTCCATTTCTAATGCCTAGAATGCGGTAGTTTTTGTTTTTTTGTCACTATTTTGGGATAATTAACGCGCATTATATTGGGTTTTTATAACACGAGTAAGCGACAGATTAAATTGAATTAAACGAACTTGGCTTGAAGCAACTCATTTGGTTTTATTCTTAGAATAAGAGACGCTAAAACGTTCCTTAAAATCTTAAAAACCCTCTGGGATATAATATGAATATAAGAAACACAAAAATTGTTTTCTTCGGTTTTTTAATTTTTAAAACAAAAACACTGTTTAATTCACTAATTATTGGTTTTGACCTGATATTTTAGCTGTCCTGTATAAAATCTAAGCTCACGCGCCTACATTTTTTTTGGAATGCGACAGAAATCATACGACAAAAATTTCAAATCAAGTTTTTAAATCATAACATTTTGTTTTAAGGTTGAAGAAAAAGCATTTTCCAGAAAAAAATACTAATTTTGACAACCAAAAAAGATTAACCATTTTTTCATTTTTTGTTTGTTTTTGGTCAAAATTATTGGGATAGTTTTTTGATAGTTTTTTGACATTCCAACTAGCTCCTTTAATTTTTTAATGGGTCTCAAAGTGCGGTAGGAACATTTAGGGTTTTGCTCTGATTTACTTGCACTCTTGTTTTGAAGTCTAAGCTCACATTTTATGTAATACAACAGAAACTATGCGACTTGATTTGATATGTCACTCAACCATGGTCTAATTTTCGTCATGATTTTGAGCTTTTGTGTGAATCAAAGCTAACAAAACCGCATTTTTACCCTTACGAGCAAAGAAAAATTTAACTAAAAGTAATTGATCACCGGTTCAACCAATGAGTCTAGCAAAATTTGATATCTGTAAAACGGAAAAAGTTCCTCCGGATGGTTCTTTAAATTTCCTAAAATGTGGAGTTATCTTTGTATAACTTGTTCAAAGTATGCATTAATTCCATTTTGTCTGGTGTCATCGATATTTGATTAGCGCCTCTAAATTTTGAATCAGTTTTCTGGTTTGAAAATTCTTATTTTTCAAAATTCTCTTGTTTTGTTCTTTAAAAAAATTTAAAGAGCGTCCAGTTTTTTTTTCGAATATCAAAAAAATTGATATTGATTAAAAAATGTATGCAGTTTTTCAATTTGTTCGAAACAATTTTCAAATATTCTCTAATCAAGCTAACTTAGCAATGAAACTTTTAATTTGTTTCATAGCTTGAATCAGTCCGCAAACGTTAAAATTGCCCCCGGTAAGTTTGTCAAGACGTGTAACCTTGATTTACTTCATGTTGATTCATGGCGTGAGTCGGCTTGTAACCAATGTACGTTTTATTAAGGAAGCTCATCAAAAGATGTAACTTTGAAATTTTCATGTTATTTTAGCGCTTGAATTAGTTTGCAAAAGTTCATTTTTAATAGCGAGGTCGACAAACAATCAGTTAAAAACTTTCAAGTCGTTACAAAATTTGAATTGAAACCAAGTTTAAGTTTGTCCAAACAAGCGACGAAACCTTGAAATACTTCAAGCTTTTTTAGAACATGAACTCGTGCAAAATCGTTTGGAGCATGAATCGTCTCGCAAAAAGCTAGTTTTTCCGAAAAATCCCGCAATGGTATTAGACAAGCAAAGCGTAGTGCAATACAATGAAGAATTGTTTTCTAACCTAAGTCGTGGCACTTTTAATAATTTACAATTTCACCGTTTTTGAATCTATTTAAGCATGGCAATTTAATGTCATATGTTCTTGCTTTACTTTTGGTTGGGGTTAGATCCTGTGGGATTTGTTTTTTTTTCGAGGCTTTGGAAACTTTTACAATTTTCGCAAAAATTTCATCAGAACTGCTATACCATTTCTCAAAAAATGATATCAATGGAGAAACTTGCTGCAAGTTTGAAATGCTCAAATATTGTACGCTCAAATTTCAATCAAAAGAAAAATTTATAGGGATTTACCGTTTTTTGACATGTTTATTAGTTTTTAAGTTTTTTTCTCAAGATTACCCTGCCAAATCGGAGTTGAAAAGTTTATCTGAAATAAACCGTTATAGGAATCTTCTCTGATAAGTCCTGCGTTCTGAAAAAAAATATATAGCCTCAGAAAATGTCCAATTTTTGAAGTTTTGCCCGTTATGTTGGGAACTCTTTTCTTTTCAAAAACTAACTAGCTGAATGCGAGGTTGATAATTCAAAAAACTAACATGGTGCTTACGTTTTCCCTGCGTTATTTTTTATCCTACTTTTTTTAAATAGAAAAGCCGATATAATCTCTGGGAAATTACTTTTTTTTTGAATTTTTTACCGTTTTTTTTTTAAATTTCATTGCTTTTCTCAAAAAAGTTTTTGCTAAATCTGATATTAAATATTCAACCTAAAAATAGGACGGAAAAACTTCCCTTTCATTCATATGGAAGATTTATTTCCTTTAGAAGAGAAAATTTGATGGATTTAGGAAAAGTCAAGTTTTGGATTTTTTGATAGTTTTTTGGAATCTTTTTCATTTTTTTTTCAAAATTTGAGATAAAGAATTCAATTGAAAAAGCGAGTAGTAGTTTTCTGTTTTTAAATAAGTAGGTAATCTGCTACTTAAGTAAAAAAAATTTCTAGGGTTGTGCGTAAATGTCATTTTTTGAAACTTTGAAATTTACGCATTTCCATATCAGCCTAATAAATGATTTAAAATATTAAAACAGATATATCCAGCCTTATCTGAGCTACTAATTTACTTCCAAGTGACCGTGGCGCAAATACAAGTGACCGTGGCGCATTCGAAACACTGAAACACTTTTATTTTTTGATCGAATTTTTGGTTGCTTTTTTGGTTGCTAGTATTAGTAAAGGTACAAGCAGTCGTGGAGCAGATGTGAGAACGTTATATTCAAAACGTTTTTCTCAAGATATACTTTTCATCTTTTATTTTTAATATTTGACTTTGTTTTTCTGCTCTAAGCTCCTGTTTGCATTTTCTCGCTTGTGTGTGCGAAGTGCAGTTTCGATTTGATTTCAATCAATTTTTTGATTTCAATCAATTTACATCGTAGCACAAATCTGTTTGCAGAATTGAAACGTTTCTAAGCAAGCTCTTCAAGCGATGAAACATTCAATCACATCAATTTTTTTTATAGCTTGAATTGGTTTGCAAACAGATAATTTGTTTCTAAGGAAATTTATCAAGAGATTTGAGTTTGGAATACTTAATAATCATTTCCATGATAAATTGTTTCCAAGGGAATATGTTACTCAAAAAAGTTACCATTTACTTTTTTTGAACTAAAATAATTACTAGAGAGAGCTTATTGTACAGCATGAATTGGTTGAAAAAGTGCAATTTTTCAAGGAGAAGCGATGAGACTCGAATCGATTCTGAGCTTAGATTTTTCTGAGCAAGCGATGAAACTTTAGAAAGTAAATCGGTTAAGTGTAGAACGTAAAAAATTATTTTAGATGGTAAATTGGCTTGCAAAAAAATGTTTTAACAAGTTTTGAAGCAAAAAAAAACTCGAAATCAAGTTCACTTATGTTATTAGAGAAACAACTGAGGATTTGGGCAAAGTTCAATTTTCGAAATTACGAATTTCGTCTTGTATCAATATAACAAACTCAAAAATTATCAAACACCTACCTCAAGCTCTAGCTGGGCCCTAGGTGTCCTTCATCGAGACATGCAAAAGTTTGGTTCACCAATTTTTCAGCTTTTTTTCGACTTATGGCCTCTGTGTGACTTATGGTCCGCTTCGTCTCTATGTGAATAGATAGAATGTTGATAGAGTGTGCGTTATGTTGATGTTTCAGCCTGATCGAATAGGGATGATTTTCTTTGTTGTATCCTGCGCCAAGATTTTTTAAGAGAAAGTGAATCTTAACCATTTTCTAGCCGTTATCGAGAAGCGTATTTGAATTTTGTCCGCCAGAACCATCTTAAGCCGAGCTTGAAAACTTTTATGATTTAATTAAAAATATGTTGTGTATTTGAACTGTTTCCTGTTTTTCAGACTTCGCCCACAATGTTGGCGGGAACTATGTACAGACAGAGACACAAGGGGGCGACTTCTGGTTCGCAGTCTCGTCCTCCTCGTCAACGGCATCTTCAGCAGCTCAAAACGACAACCAACTACACTTCAAAAACAACAAAAACAACAACAACAACAATAATAATAATAAAAACAACATTCATCATCTCCAAGGAGTACACGGGGGACATCCGGCATCCCTGTCGCCCTCCTCCTCCCAGTCCCCAAGCGGGGATTCTGGAACAGGAGTGGGTGGGGACGGCGGGGGAGTTACGAGTGGCAAGGGGGGACATCAAGAAAACTCACCGCGGATTAATCAGGTAAAATGATTTATTTTTTAGTTTTAGTAATTAGAAACCCTTTTTTTAGACAAAAAAGTTATAAATAGAAACAGATTTTTCAATGGGAACAGATTAAGGCAATAGTTTATAGCTAGTGTTAAATTGCTGGCAATATCTTTTGCGGTGAATGTTTTAACGAACTTAATCCTTCTAAAACTACTCATTTTAACATCAATCATCAACATACCATTCATAGCAACAAATAGAATTTCGTCCAAAAACCTAATTGACCGAAAATTACAATTAAAAATTAAAAATTACTAAAAATTACATTTTTTCACTATTTTAAAAACGATCAAGATCACCAATATTGTCAAAAATTTGGCATAGCTATAAAATAACCACAAGACAAAAACTTGTAGCAATTAAACTTGTTGCTTTAAAATATTTATTTGTTTGAACTTATTTTATCGCATTTCGCCACGCCCATTGTTCGATCGCCATTTTAGCATTTTTTTCAGGCGAGCAGATTGGCTGCAGCAGTAATGGGGGGCAACAACAGTCAAAGTGGGGACTCGTCAGACATGAACGAAGAACTAGCTCAAGGTCAAGGTCAAAACCAAGGCCAACTGCACGAGTGTGACCACGAGGGGTCCCACTCGGACAGTCTAAAGTTCAAAGTGGTTCAACAACTGAGTTGTCTGAGACAAATCATGGCCAGATTGCTGAGGGAGAAATTCCAAATTGGTAAGAAAGAGAAACTAGCACAAATATTCAGTCATTTTACTCGAAAGTCGAAACAATAATGAACGATGTCTGTTAGAGTAAAAACAGGTTTAGGTGCAATATTTTAACCATCACCTCTGAGAGACTATGCTCATGTCAGAAAGATCAAAACGTCAAAAATAGTAACCATTTATTGTTCCGACTTTCTCGGGGTGGGTTTTTTTCTTCAGACAAATTTCAACTTCTTAACTAGCCATTTTTCACGTTTTTTTAAAACATCATTCAAAAGGTATTGTTGTCCTGAGCTTAAATTTGAAAAGATATTTCACCTGATACGAGCAGTCTTGTTCTCTTTTAAGTTTTCCATAACTGACGGTATTTGTGCTTATTTTTTTTCAAATTTTCGAATGATGGTAAAAAAAAGCCAGCATTTTAAATCTTTTTTTGCGGCGAACATGAGAAAAAGTCTTCAATCCAGATTAACAATGTGATTGTAGACGTGAATCGCAAGCAAAATTTTGCGACAATTAGCAAAGTTTACAAAAAGCGCGAAAATTTGATGCAAACAAGATGATTCAACAAAAGGCAGTATATTTCAGCACAAGACTGCCTGTATATCAGGGTGAAGCCATGAATGTTTCGACTGCACGTTCAGGCCAGTTGAAAGTTTTTTGGTTGAATAACTGACGAAAGAATTGAAAAAGAGGAGAAAAATTTTGCTTTTTTTCCTCTTTTTTATTCACCCCACATGCTATGTTAAAAACAAAGGGCATTTTTAGCGTCTTGTATTGTGTTTAATAAAACTACTCTGCATCTCTCAACTCAATTTGGAGCGGATTAATCCGCTGCTTATGCGTGTTATAAGAAAAGATTATATCGCGCGTTAATAATATCAAATTGGCCAAATGACTATATTCAAACTCCCGTTACTTTGTGAAACATGATCACAGGTGAAGTTTTTGTTTTTTGAATTTGAGCCTGAGACAAAAGTATCTTCCAGATAAATTTTAAAAATTTTGTCAAAACGCTAAGTTAAAAATTGACTATAATAAAAGACACCACAAGCCTTGAAAGTTGGACCAAACAAGGCATTGAATAATGCGTTGAGAATTTAGCAAAAGTTTTCAACTGTTTCATCCCAGCACCTCGAGGATTTTTTTTGGTTCTAAACTAAACGGGTAAGACGTAAACACGGAGCGAAATCAATTAGTCCGGAGTCAAACTCTCTCTGGTATCCAAGCAGAACTTTGTGTTTTCACAGCAGATGCTTTTGTATATAAACGAAATGTCCGATTAGAGCTCTCTTCTTTGCAATCAAAAGTTAGGAAGAAATATCCGAGTCTCATGAAAATCCGAAATATTCATCGCCCGCAAATTGTCATGGAGCTCGAAAAAGCATCGTAAAGGCTTTCAAGAATTTGTTTCCTGAGTAGTTATCGAAGGCTCTTTTTTTTCAATTCACGCAATCCCATTGTCCCAAAAATCAATGATTTGATTTGGTAGCAGTTTAGCGATGCTGAAAGTAAAATGCGCACACAATCCTACAATTGTTTGCCGCTCTGCTCATATACCAAATACTGATTCTGAAATCAGCGTCACTGCTAATGTCAGATGATTTTGTAAAGAAAGAGAAAAATCAACCCATTAGACGTGGTGGACAAACAAGACAACTTTCTGGTTGAAAAAAAGGCTCATACAAAGGGTGGAAAAAATGGCATGCAAAAGGAGTTAGCCTTTGACTTGCTTTCGTTTTTCTTTTCGATCTTTAATTTGCTTTGATCTTTCATTTGAAACTTTCATCTCATTTTTTAACCCAATACACGGTTTGTTAATCAATAAGTGTAGCCTTCTACGAGTTTTTGCCTGGGGCAAATTGTTACTTTTTGTTCCGATTTTCGAGGAAAGTGCGGAATATTTATGCTTGGGATATTTTTTGTCTGCAGTAAATTTTCGCTTTTAACTTAACTTTTTGACAGAATTTTTTATACCATCTGAAAGACATTGTTGTCGTTGAGAGCTCCAGTGTAAAAGACTTTTCAGCTGTGATCATTTTTACACTAGCAAGCTTGCGATCGTTAGTGTATTCCGTACCGAGCCCCTTAATAATCAAGTGTTTATCATAAATATAATCAAGTAGTTTATTATCATGAAAATGTAATAACGAATCAAACAAGTAGACGCTAGTTGACAAACCAATTTGAAGTGGAAAGTTCAGCCCGTATAAATATGTTTTGTTTCAGCGTGAGTCAAGTCTGACAAACCATTTTGCATACCTGATTTTGTCTGTTTGTTTATCTACAGAATAATTTTCACATATTTATGCCACGAGACTTGAAGAGACCTGGATCAGACCTGAGCATCCATGCTACAAGTAAAGAAATGTCATGAATCTGTACAGTTCTGATTTTTGTTCCGACTTTCAAAGAAAACTGAATATTTATGCTCGGTGTGGTTTTTTTTATTCAGTCAATTTTCACCGATTGAAATCATAATTTTCAACAAAACTTTTTTGTAGCCCATTGAAGATATTGACTTCTTGAGTTGAAATGTAACAAGATATTTTACTTCCGATAAATTTTTGTAAAGTTCTGGGGGTTTGAACTATATTCAGTATTCTGGACTAAATTATGGGCGCTTTGAAGAGTTTATTCATAACGCTGAGAGCGCGACGCGAATTATTTATGCGGAGCGAATTATCCTGCACAACAAAAACGTTCCAAATTGAATTGAGGCTAGCTAATTGGTCGGTATTAATTTGGCACTACTCAAAGTTTTACACATTGATATTGTCCAAAATGAACAGGTTTTCAATGTTTTCTTTTCCCAAAAACTATATGATATAATTCAAGGGACAGTCGGAACATTCGAAAAGCTTTGCCCTGATATACGAACAGTCTTGTAATGTTTTTCTTATGACGGGATTGTTACAATTTTTTTCTAACCTAACTTGCAAATAAAAGTGTTCATTATATGGTGGCACAGTGTATATTTTCACTTATAGATATTTTCACGGTGTAAATATGTGCATCGATAAATGAGCTGCAGTCTCGCGAAAGATTCAATTCTTCTTTTGCAACAAGTAGTCTACCAAGCTACCAAGTAGGCCGCTAGCTGTGAGCTGCCACCATATCAGGAAGGTGTTTTGTTCACTGTTCGAGAGCTTTAATTTCTGCTAATCAGAATTGAGCTTATGGCTGATTACAGTGACAAAGTTTGTGTGAGATGCAGAGAAAAAATTTGGTTATTTTACGCGGGTGGGGGTTTATTCACTTAATTTCTATATTTCCACTAATGATTGAGAATTTTGGATCTTGATCAATTCAAGATGATTATTTGGTTCATAATATCCTCAAAACGGTTCCAGGTACCCGCATTGGCAAAAATCGATTTTTATACAGATTTTTTACTAGTTAAAAACCGATTGTATGTAACCCAATTAGACACTAAAATGGATAATATAGGGATTTTGTACAGTTCAGAAAAAGCGATTTTATAGTCTAGAAAATGGATTTTTTTGCAGTATAAAATCTGTATAGAATCTGTATAAAATCGATTATAATCGATTGTAATGCATTTTCCAAGGACCAAAAAAAAATCTCTTTTATAGTCTAGAAAATAGATCTTTTTGCGGTATAAAATATGTATAGAATCTGTATAGAATCTGTATTAAATCGATTATAATCGATTGTAATGCCTTTTCTAAGGACAAAAAAATCGATTATATTGTCTAAAAAATGGATTATATTGTCTAAAAATTGATTTTTTAACTCTTAGTAGCATGCTGTTTGAAGATTCAAAACAAAAATTGAATTCATACAAAACGACAAAAATTCAAGAAAATCATCGATATAAACAAGATTTGGTCACTAAAATATGCAATGAAACCATGAAAATCATCAATATAAACAGGATTTTGGGTCAAAACATAAATAATAAATGAAAAAGTGGTCAATATAGTTCAGATTTTGAGCTCAAAAACAAGCAATAAATCGCAGGCTCAAAGCAATTAGCCAGTCAACACACCAACTTCGCTAGTGGCCTGAGCGGCCTTGGCTAGTGGCGACTTCTTGCTCCGCTCCGCTTAAAATTGATAGGAGAGTTACTGTGCGCGTAAATTTGTGTTTTGACTCTAATTTAGACTATTTTGTTTTTGAAGTTGATAATTGCTGACAAATCGTGGGATAATTGTCTGAATTAGGGAAGCTGGTCTGAAGACTGAGCGTCATTGTACGTCTGCCAATCAATCATGCATCAGTTACGTTAGTCTGCTTCAAGCCTCATTTTTCCTTTTTTATGCTACAAAATTGGTCTGTCAAAATATCCCGTCCGGAACGATTCACATGCAATTTTTTTTATTAGTTGACTGTTGTCATTTTAGGAAAACAGAAAAACAATTTCACGCTTTGCGCCTGTAGCAAAATTTAAAATTCAAATGGGGTTTTCGTATAAGGTTGAAGTGTTTAGTTTTTTTTCTACCCTTCCGTTCAAGGCAAAATTTGCAACCCAATGTTAACAAACTGAATTGAACTTTGTTGATTAAAAAGATAAATGCAGAAGTTTCTATTTTGTTATTAAAAATAGATGGAATCTGTGTTTATCTTTCGCACCTTGGGTTGACGCGTGCCACTCATGTAAACAATAGGCGTGTCATCGGGACAAACAAGGGCCCTTTTTAGAACCCACCCGCGAGACTCTTTCGGGATGAAAAGTGGTCTAAAATGTCCCGCGGGGTTATCTACTCGCCGTCAAAGTGCCCACGGGCGAATTTAGATTAACACGCTGACTATTTTTAGCCAGATTTTCTTGAACAGTTGGATCAAGTTAAGGTTTTCCACCCCAGCATTTAATTCGCATTAAATTTGCTAAGCGCTGCCAGTAAAATGCTTGATTCTGATTGGCTGAAAATTCCCAACTTGGAACCAAGTTAACATCCTGCCCCCGACGGCTTTGCGAGGAGGGTGTTAACTTGATCCGAACAGTTTTTTGGTGAAAAAGATGCATTCCCAATATCGTTTTGGGAG